GGGGGCATCAAAATTATGAAATCAAAGAAGCCTACATTTTTCCGTCTTTTTGGCAATTTCTATCCCAATTTTTTCTTCTCGACTCGCACCTTTTGCGTCCTTTTAAGAATACTTTTCTGTGTTGATTTTACTTTAAAACGTTTGCTATGCCCAAAAGATGTATCATTGCAGTTTCCATGGACACTCAAGCTTTGGAAGTCACCAAAATTTTGTGGCTATTTTCTCCCTAATTTTGCATCTGACACCAGGCAATTTCCACCCACTTCAATGGCAAACATCTCGACCTTTATTCAAGGTAGATGAGTATTTTTTTTTCAACAAAAGGTAGACGAACAAGTTAGCTTTAAGGTGATCCCAATAACTTCCGTATGCCCCAAAATTGATGAATGACCGATTCCAGCATGTCATGACACATCATTTTTTTCTTTCCCTCAGACACGGGAGAGGTTAATACAGAGTCTCAGGGAAGACTTGGAAAAGTCCCGTAACCGCATCCGAGATTTTGAGTTGTCACAGCAACGAGCAGACGTAGACAGAGAACAAGATAGGCTGCAGCTGTAAGTAGTGACCTGCAATCATCATCATCAGCATCAGCATCATTAGCAGATATCAAACAATTTTTCTTTTTCCTGTTTTGTTTCTTCTTGAAGCATAACAATTGCTGCCATCATGGCTCACGTTTTCAATGAAGATTATAGATATCCAGCACTAGATCAGGATACAGGACCAAAAAATGGACTCATATGAAGACTAAAATTACTTCTGTTTTGTGTTACTTTTCTTCGAATCTGTTGTGGGAAATTTGTGTCCATATTTATGTGGCGTTACTTACACTCTGTCCTCTCCTTGATCTCAATGTGTCTGCTCCTCACTGTGGATGGTTGATGGGTGCTCTTGTATGATTTGCTCTTTCTGTCCTTTCAAACATCTGTCGTCCTTATCTTTCCTCCTTCTTTCCTTTGTATGTTACTCTCCAGTAACACCACTAATCTTCAGTACTTTATACGACTTGTTTGTGTTGCAGTTGCTGTAAAACTCTTACTAAATCTAAAGCTATCTCTGCTCCTTTATTTATTTAATTTTTTTTTTTCGTGTGTATGTTACTCTCTAGTAACACCTTTAAACTTAGGAACGTGTATGACCTATTTGCCGCAAAACGCTTGCTAAAACCAAACCCTTCACAACCACGCAGGCTTGAGCGACGGCTGGAAATGTATGAGAAAGACAGGGAGGAGCAGAAGCAGAGGATGCAACGCAAGCAGGACCGGAGAACCAAGGAACATCAGGAGCAACTACGCCAGCAGAGGGTAGGAAAATTTTTCATATGCATGACAATGCACATGCACACGCACACTCACAAGAAATTTGCATTTTCACGTCATGCTCGTAAAAATTTATACCACATTATGAAAGTGCTGTATAAAAAAATCAATTTCATTTGGGCTGTGTACTTTTTTACAACTGTCCAACAAAAGTCAATATTGTTCTTCTGTGACAATTTTTTTTTGTCTGCTGTGCCATGCAGGAATCTCGTGAGAAGCAGCGGCAGAACTACGAGGAGCAGAAACGTCAGCTGATGAAGGAGGAGGAGAAGCTGAATCAGAGGAGGGAGGAAGAATTAAACAAGCGCAGGCAGTTTGTGAGTGTTTTTTTTTTCTCGCATGTTGTGTTGAGTGATTTATTCGGGATATCTCGATTTTTCGCCCCAAATCTTAAGCATCCTGATTTTCTGGATTTCAATCTTGTGTATCCTGAAATTTTTGTTCCGTCTGTTGCTCCGGATTCTTCTAAAAACTTCACTCCCTTCTTCTGTGTCGCAGAAAGCACCCTTTAAACTTTTTGTCGGCAGGAAATTGGAGCACTATTTTCTGAAATATCGATGCTGGATTTAGTATTTTATTCACCCCAAGTTGTGTTGGAACTTTGCTTGTACATGTTTTTTCAACTATAATGGAAGCAGTATTATTTTGGCATTCCAACTTGGGACATTCTCAAGATTAATATAGTTTTTGTTTCCACTCAGAATTCTCCGATGATGGACTGATATCTGTTTCAGTTGCGACATACAAATGATTATTTGTAGTTCTACTGTTTCTTTCAAAACAAGCTTTGTCTGAGTTCTGTTTAGTCGGGCCAGTCATCAAGACCCAACAGTAAGACCGTTTCAATTGTGCGTTCGCATAGGGCCTATACAATGAAATATTTATGGACACCCCAGGAACATTTTTAGTCAACTTGGAAGTCGCCTTGGTGATTTGTTGTTGATCCCGATTTTTTTCCTCTGAGATCCGGAAGTTTAGATTTCATAGAGTGACAGATCTGATAACATGACTCAGGAATTGTATGTCATCGTGGTGAAATTAGGCGCTAGTCAATATACTGTAATTGAAGAAACCGACATTTCCCTCCCGGTGGACAATGTTTATCAAATTTTATTACTTTTTTGAGGGCTCAACATCTTTTATGTCCATTTGAAAACATGTTTTTGTTTGGATGTTACTGAAAATCATTGATCAAAGGCACAAAAATGTAACTTTACAGTTTTCAAGGAAACTCATCTATTTCTGTGTTGTTTGTATCTGTCTCCTGAGCCCTTCATGCTGTTTTCAAAGGCAGAGCGTTGTTGGCAGGCAGTTTGGTTTGGTTTGCTCCTTGCTTCTTCCTTTCTGTAACACCTCTTATCTATCATCCTTATCTCTCCTCCTCCATTACTTTGTTACTCTCAAGTGACACCTCATAATCTTCAGCACTAATACGACTTATTTGTGCAGCAAGTGCTGTAAAACTTTCACTCAAACTAAATGTGGGTGGTGTGATTTTTAAATTCAGTAGTAACACCTCTAATTTTCGGCACTTATATGGCCTATTTGTGTAGTAAAAGCTGTAAAGCTCGCAACGGAAATAAAAAAGAGAGTTCCTGGTTTACTGACCATGGTTTTTTTTATTTTGCTGTTGTTTCTGACTTAGTTTTCCCTTACGCCAAAGTTATGGCTAACATTGTTGTGAATTTCTTCTCTGTACTGACGCTGGCTCTGTTGTTGTGTTTTCAGGAGAGAGAGCGTCGCCAGGACCTGCAGGAGCAGCGGGAGGCAGACGAGAAGCGAATGCGGGAGAAGATCCGCCGCGAGGACGACCAGTACATGCAGCAGCAGCTGGCCCTGGAGAAACAGCAGCGATTGGATCAACAGCGGCCGGTCCGTGTGGCCGACATGAGGCGACGACTAGACTCGGCAGGGACAGAGGGTCAACAGGGTCAAGTTCAGTCCCCGACAGGAGGAGGAGGAGGGTACAGCCAGTACGCCAACGTGTCGGGTCTCCCCGCCAGCAGTGTTCCGCAGCCCCAGGACGTCTCTGGGCTGGCCCCGCCCCCACCGGAGAGGAAGTCGTCCTACGACACCTTCAGCCAGCACCAGCAGCGAGCTTCGTTCCGCAACAGCAACAGTCAGGAGTTCCCTCCCCCACCTCCTCTTTCGGCGGGTGGCGGCAGCATGTCGACTGCCAGTTCATCAGCGTCACTCCCGTCGGCCATGAAAAACTGGCAAGAGCCCCCAGCCCCTGCGAAGAAGTCGGTCTCCTTCAATACTCAGATGAACACGTACAAGGAGCGAACCCCTAGCCACTCGGTCTCTTCCTACAAGTCGCCCACAGGGTCGCAGTCCTCCGATCAGGGCATCCCGCCGCCAAACTTCCACAATATGGAAAACAGCGAAGTCTTTGACTCTTCTAACTTGCCCTCCCCGCCCCCACCCCTTGTTAACAGCACTGGCAGCGGCGTGGGGATGGAGGGGAACAGCAACACAGCTGTTTACAACAGCACCAACAGCTCCACGCCCAACGTGATCGGAGCGCAGGAAGTGTACCGGGACCCGCGGTCGCGGATAGAAGCAAGGATGGCCTCTCAGTCGACTTCGCGGGCCAGCCCGGGCACGGACCGCATGTCCTTCCGCGAAAAGATGAAGTACTTCGCCCAAGAGGCGGGGGAGGACACCATCAAGTACAAGCCCAAGGCTTCCAAGACGCTCCGCAGCATCGAGTCCAAGCTCAACGGACAGTGAGACAACTATTGGACAGACAGTGAATGGACCGTTAGAAAACCAATCACATTGAAGGGACAGTGAGAAAAAAATGACATCAAAGGGGAAGTGGGAAACTAATGATGTTGAAGGGAAAGTGAGAAAATAACGACATTGGAGGGAAAGTCTGTGTGGAACATTTAGGTATTCGCTCTGTTCACTTTAGGGTTGTGACTACAAGGTTACTGTAAACCCTTCGGTGTTGTGTGTGCAGGAGCTAGAGGGCTGGGTGACTGCCTCAGGAGATGGTTCCTTGATGTTGTAGCTAGCTGGATGTGGCCGTTGTTGAAGAGAAAACCAGACTTGCCGACTGTCCTGAATTTCCCGCGATGGTCCCAGATTGGACAGTCGGGGGGAGGAAATTTGAGAGCCCAATCACATATACTTCACCAAAACCAGTCCCACTTATGTTGTTACATAATCTGGTGTTATAGCATGGGATATCCCTGATTGGGTTTTGACCAAGTTGTCAAGCCTCCTGAAATGGCACCTTTGTGTTGTTGTTAAGAACAGGATGCATATATGTATATAAGCAATAACCAACGTAATAAACCTGGTAATGGTAAGGAAAGTTTGACACCTCTGGTAGTCAAGTCTTCAAGTGTCAACGTCGCAGCTTATGAAATAGACGGTTGAATCAACACCTGAGGAAATGTTTGGACCTCATAAAAGAAAAATATTTTTTTGGGTGTTGTAGTCAGTATGTAAAATTAAGGAGGCTGGCTGCCCAAGCCTGAGCCCTGCTTTGGTTGTGACCTGTAAGGTTGTGATGTCCCCAGGCTAGCTTCCTCTTCCCTCCTCCATCAGCGACATGCTTTTGTTTGGGGGGAGGGACAGAAGTGTGTATGTATCGAATATACCAAGAAGTAACCTTTACTATAATTTGGCCACTTTTGTCTGGTGATGAAGTTCTTGCTGCTCGTGTACGCCCTCGCGAGTTGTATGGGCTCTTATAGGTTGTGCTGTATTTGCCAATTTGGAATGAGTCCACCCACAGGTGTCTCGTTAACACTTCCCACGTGATTGACATTTTTAACTCTCCAGACCTTCTTCCTTGTACGGCAGGTTTGAGCCAGGGAGAGTTTTCACAACTCTCTGTCTGCCTGGCTTGGTCCTGTGTTAGATTTACAATGAGTTCAGAGTTCAAGCCTCTTGAATCAACTCGCACAGGGTTTTGACAGTTCGGATTTCGCCGATAGCCAATCCGTATTGGTAGGGGGGAGGGGAGTTGTGTCCTTTGAGTCTCTTATGCAGGCTGCCTTAGATGGATGCCTGGGTGTAGCGCTTGAGCTCTTTACTGTTACCATGCAGGAGAGCAGAGTTCCTTTCCCAATCGGGGGGTAATTTTTGGTTGAGTGTCTTGGTCTTTCTGTTTGAATGTTGTATCCCTCTAAGCGAGGGTTAACCCTGTCAAGCAGGGTCGGAAGCCCGTCTCCTTAACGATATAGATTGTAAAAACACTGACATTTAGAGAAAACAAAGGCTGCCTCGGGTGTCTGTATGTAACGGACGGTACTAAAGGCTGAGAGGAAATTTGCCTTGTTGAATATCTGGCAGCTTCCTCTTCACACACCCCCACTCCCCCCGAATCGCATGGCCCCATGCTTGTTCTTGTTTTTTTGTCAACTGTTCTTATGCATCAACTATGATCATTCCTACACAAATTGTCTATTCTTGTACTACAGAAGAGTTCTACATACAACTATTATGAGAGTAACAAAATGATAAGTTATCTATTGTGTCACAGTGTACATATTTCGTTCCCTCGCCTCTTGGTTTTTTTAATTTTATGACATTGTGAACTTCCTTGTCCTTTGTAGCTACACCAAGATATAACACCCAGTAGCTCCATGTGCTCTATGCAACCGTGTCTGTGCATGCTTGTTTGTTGTCTGTGTGTGTGCACACATGCATGTGTGTGTACAAATGCATATGTATGTACACATGCGTGTGTATGTGTGACTGTTGTATGAATGCGTGCTATGCAAATCTTTCCTTGCTGTTGTTTCTGCATGGTGTTGATTGAGAAAATGTCTTGTAGTGTGTGAAATCGAATATTTGTACAGACAGAAAATTTTGGAATATCCCAGAGCTAAGCGCTTTGTTTAAAGTACACTTATATATATTGTAGAGATCTGTATGTGGTCTTTGAGAAGCAAATGGTGAGAAAGGGAAGGGTGTCTATCTGTTATCTCTGGGATTCATGATGGGCATGGGTAGGTTTATAAATGTTCAGAGTTATGTATCCTCAGCCGGCTGTTCAAATGTACTAAGCCCAAAATTTTTGAAACATTTGTTCCATTGCAGTTTCTTAGTCTGTGGTATGGGTTGTCCTTGAGAAATACTTTGTTAAATCTTCAAGAAAAGATTATAACATAAAGTAGGTATGAGTATTAACAGAAATGAAATGTACGTTTTTCCTTCTCTCCTGATAGTTTTTACTTTTCGGGCTTAGAACATTTGAAGTGCTGGCCAAGGATATACCGTGTTTTCTTTCTTTGTTTCTCCCGAGAAAGATGTGGCCAACGTTTGTCTCTGGGATTGACGTTTGTGATACTTTCTGTGCATGTTGAACTGACTGCAGGTCAGTGGTGGGTCAAGCTGACCTCTGACCCTGGCATGTGTTTGTCAATATAGTAGTACAAGAACTGCTAGATAGGTTTCTGCATTCATCCCCTTCATTTTCATTTTTAGAACAAAAAAGAACAAAAAATAAAGCAAAACAAAACAAGCTGGAGGTTGGTAGCCCTAGAGGTTTCCTCATCTCTCCAGGCTTGTGGTGTTGACTTTGCTTGATGCTCGTGGTAGAGCTGCTAGTTGGGGTGCTCAATACACAGATATCATATTTATATTTTATGCAAAAATGTATTATAGCCACACTTTTATAGTCTATTTTCTATGATATTCTGATGATTATGCCTCCCCCTCATCCCCCAACCCCTTTCCACCTCCCCCCACCCCCCGCCCCTCTACTCTGAGACAGACAGACCCCCCTCCCCCCTCCCCAAATCCCATAGCAGCATGTACATAGAACCTTTCTGGCTCCAGCTCTCTCTCCAATGTGACTGTGAGTGGAGAGCCCTCCTGAACAAAACGCCTTCTTCTTAGACTACTTGAATTTCTTAATTAAAGCTTTTTTTTTTTTTTTTTAAATTCATTTAACTCATGTGTATTAGCCATGCCATACAATGTAGATATATCATGACTACTCATATTAAACTTGTACTGCTGATTCAAGAGTGCATCTTTTGTTCACTGTGTTGTTTTCTTTGTAGATATTTCTTCCTTGTCTGGACCCATATATCGGAGATGTGGGGTGGTGTGGTTGCCGGGGGGGCTCTGCCGGTGTGGGTTGCTCCTATTTTTCCTTTCAGACATCTATTGTCCTTTACTTTTCTCTCCTCCTTGCTTTCTATCATGTATGTCACTCTCTAGTACATGTAATAACACCTCTCACTCTAATCTTCATCACTTATGTAATTATCTGTAGGTGGTTGGCAGGTGCTCTGGTGTGGTTTGCTCCTTATTTCCTATCAAACATCAGAATCTGTTGATCATCTGATCTCTCCTCCTTTTTTATGTTTGTTACTCCCTTATAAAACCTGTAACATTTGGCTATTATTTGACCTTATTGTATTGCAAGTACCGTTTACTAAAACTAAACTTGATCTCTTTGGGATGCAAGTGCAGTGCCGAAGAAAAAAAACAAAAAAAAACAAAAACGCTTACCTCATACTACTTATACTTTACATTAAAATATTTTTTAAAACACATGGGGGGAGGGCACACATTGATGGTGCTGGCTCTTGCTGGCCAAGTGAGAGACTCCCATCATGAGTGATTTGAAGTGTGAGGCATCGTTATGAAATCAGGTGCTCGTCCGAATAATGAAATAGAAGAAAATGGAATTTTTCTATTCGTTTTTCTTTTTTTAGCTCGACACCTTTTACATCCATTTAAAAACACATTTTCGTGTGTTTTTTCCTGGAAAAAGGTTGGTCAAAGGCATTTAAAAAAAAGAGACATGGATTTGCAGTTTTCAAGGTCCCTCAAGCTTTGGAAGTGGCCAAACTTTTACGGACATCTTCTCACCAATTTTACCTCTGCTACCAGGCGACCTCTGCCTCCGTTAAATGCACAATAATTCAACTTCCATTCAAAATAAATGAGTAATTCTTCCTTCAATATCAAGGCAATCCATAGGACATCAGCTTATTTCAGAGGCGGGACCTCCGATTTTAACGCTCGCCTCATGACCGAGTAAAATGGGTTGAGAGCCTTGAAAACGTGGGTGGTTTGCGGGTGCTCTGGTGTGGTGTGCTTCTTCTTTATCAACCATCCATCGCCTTTATCTCCCCTCCTTTTTGTGTTTGTTACTCTCTTGTAACACCTCTAAAATTCGGCACTTAATGACCGTATTGTGTAGCGAGTGCCGTAAAACACTAAAACAAATAAAACAGCCTTGAAAACTCCACAAAACGATTCGAGGTTATAAACACCCAGTTTGGGATTCGAATCAGGGCCATCCACTCCCAAGTCTAGTGTGATATCGACTGAGCGAACGGAGCACATTTAAGTCATCACTGAAAATAAAGGCATTGCTTTATTTTACCACTAGCCACGTTATCTTACTGCCGTTGACCGACAAAAGCTAAAAGTAAAAGTAACAAGCGGTTGGTTGGCGGGTGCTCTGGTGTGGTTTGCTAATTCTTCCGTGTGAAACGTCTGTCATCCTTATCTCTCCTCCTCCTTTTCTGCGTTTGTTACCCTTTAACAGCATCTCTAATCTCCTTCACTTTATGGTGTATTCAATGCTACTTAAAGTACCAGTCATTAACAGAAGTGAAGGGATGGAATCGTCGTAGGCGTGGGTGGTTGGCGGGTGCTCTAATGTGGTTTGCTCCTTCTTTTCTATCATGTATCGTCCTTATCTCCCGAACTTCTTTTTTTATGTTTGTTACTCTCGTGTGACACCTTTAATCAGCGCGCTCATATGACCTTGTGCAGTTGCGAGCGTCGTAGAACCCTTTCTAAACAAACAATACCTCTAATCTTCGGCACCTATTCTTAAGTCTTTATTGTGTTGTTAGTGCCGTAAAACTCTTTCTAAAACAAAAACGAATCGTAGGCTGTTTTGCTAGTCTTCTGTGAAGACTGCTTCTGCTGTTGTTGCAGGCTACAAAGCAAAGGAAGACTGAACAGCTCGAACAGACAACTCTGGTATAGCGGTTTGGAGCTTTGTTGTCGCACGATGGAGACCCGAGTTTGATTCTCCAATGGGGAGAAAATTGTCATCGAGTATCTATGTCTTTCTGCTGGCATAATAATATTGTATCCCTCTCAGCTCGAGTTGGCCCTGACAGGCAGGATCGGAAGCCCGCCTCCTAAATGATCCAAATTAAGAGGATTGGGGGGGGGGGGGGGGGGGGGTGTAACGTTCTGCCCGGCTAGTAGTAGTATATAAAATTTACCCATGATTCACGTAAGTGGGTGTAGTAGAAATGCATTACTGGGAATAACTATGCGTCTTCTTATCACCACATCCTTCTCTGCTGTCTCCGTTTCTCCATCTCACTATTTTCCCTGCACTAAAAATGTGTTCTTGTGCCGCTGTGATTGTTTTTAACCTGACAATCCCAAACACACACATACACACACATGCACACACTCACACACACACACACACACACACACACACACACACACACACACACACACACATACACACACACACATATATATATATACACACTCACGCACAAACCTGCACACACACGCGCGCGCGCGCTCGCACACACATGTTGTATCCCTCTCACATAATAATTTTCTTCCAGAGCCGCAAACGGGCATGCCTAAGCTACTACTATGGCCTATCGGTAGAACGGTAGTTGTGGGAGAATGTTTGCGGGCCTGGAAGTTTGTGTGTGTGTGTGTGTGTGTGTGTGTGTGTGTGTGTGTGTGTGTGTGTGTGTGTGTGTGTGTGCCATGTGTGTGTGTGTGTGTGTCCCGTGTGTGTGTGTGTGTGTGTGTGTGTGTGTGTGTGTGTGTGTGTGTGTGTGTGTGTGCCATGTGTGCGTGTGTGTGTGTGTTGCTGGGTATTGGTGCTGTTGTTATTGTTCTTGTAAAATGGCCTCAAAATGTGTATTTTCTGTTCTTTGATTCGTTAGTTAATTTGATGGCTGGTTTTGCATTGAACATACAGCGCCTACTTAGGGTCTTTTTGATTATTAAAGTAAAGTTGTTCCCGCATCCGATCCGGATATTGTGGATTGCCTTGTTAAATTAGTGAGACAACTTCCTGGGCCTTCGGCATTATTGTGGTAGGGTGGCCAGTTCCCCAACTCGAAGTCAGGTACCCATTACTGCTTGACGTGCAAGAGGGGGTGAAAAAATCCGTTTCCGAACCGAGGCTCGAACCCGGATTTTCCGCTTCGGAGACGAGCGCACTAACCGCACCGCCACTTCACCCTTTTTCAGGGGATTAAGAACTACAAATTATTGCCATTATTATTACAAGCAGGCTAAAGAAATAGTGTGAAGTCTAAAAAGTTCCCAGAGCGAAAGAAGACTATAATATCACAACACACTTCAGCATAAACATCTTCAAAACATTAAAACAGCGAAACGTATTTTCGGGCAATATGTTGATCCTCTTTAGCTAAAAGAGGTAATAAAATGTTTCGTCTTAAATTTCGATTTCGCATTTTCTTTCGGCTTTTGCACCTTGACTGCACGACTGTGGGTGGACTACACAGTAATCTGTGGCTCGGTGATCTGTCGCCATGGTCGGTCGTTAATTTGCACTATCCAGGTTTAAGTTCATAACTATTAATCTAGTTTTGGACGCAGTAACAGCAGTTGAGAACGTTTAAGCTGTAGACGTGACGGAGTTAAAGGTGCAAGTTTCGTTTCCAACACACCAGCCCCAGCAGGCTCACCACAGTCTGGTGAAGACAGTGAAGTGACGATGATATCTCGCACCTTTGCAATAACTTTGGTTCGCCAGTAAGTTTAGTTTCTCTAAGATTTCGCATGTGGTTTTGTCTTTAGATTTAGATTACTACTTTTACTTTTTTACTTTTTCATCCTCTGTTGCCGTTACGAAGTGTATACAGACCCGGTAACCGGGAACAAAGTCACGAAGTATAGAGACCCGGTAGGGGAACTCTTTTGTGATTTCAGAGACTTTCAGCGCCCAGACCCGGTAGTGTGTGTGTGTGTGTGTGTGTGTGAGAGAGAGATAGAGAGAGAGGGAGGACGAGGAAGGGAGAGGGAGGGGGGGCAGAGAAATATAAAGGGTGAATGCTTGATTGAAATTATAATGACAAATTGTTCTTTTCTTCAAATTATTATTCCTCCAACTCCAAAACGGAGGAAAAACGATCGTTCTTCGAAAAGACATTCGCAATCTTCATTTAGATCTAGATCTAGATCTAGGATAGCCTCGAAACTAGATCTAGATCAATGATTTTTATGTCTGTCTGTCAAGATCAAAACCTACCTAGGCCATAGATCTAGAAGAACCTAGGTCTACCCCACAGAATTCTACACTTAACTTGAGTGTAGAATTCTGTGGTCTACCCTGAGCCAAGAGGGCGCTGAAACTTTCCGAAATCACAAAAGAGTTTCCCTATCGGGTCTGTACACTTTCACTTTCTGACTTTGTTCCCGGTTACCGGGACTGTATACACTCCCTCACCGTTAAGGGTCAAGGGGAGATATTATATAATAATATATGCAGTTTTCTATGGTAGGCCAGTTCCGCAGCTCTTTCAGTTGTGATGTTATGTTTTCTTTATTAAGGGTTTCTTTGACACCCTCGATCCACCTTTTGCATGGCCTTCCTCTTCCATTATAGCCTGAGTGCTTGGTGTTGTAGGCTCTCGAGGCTGGCAGGTCAGGTGACTTACGTAACAGCTGACCAAAGCATTTTCCTCTGCAGTGGCGGCTTGTGGTTTGACCAGCCTTCATTCACAGACTCTTTCTTCCTCCCCCCACCCCC